AATGCCCCCTTCAATTGGAGTGCTTTCCCAACGGGCCTCTTCTTCCAATGCACGCAAGTAGAATGCACAGAGAGTCCTCTAATGTCTAAGGAAGATCTCTCCTTTCCCAGGGGCCCTCAGTTCCCACCGTGTTTCTGTGACTTATATTCATTTCCCTTATCTCCCAGATCCGTTCTGGCTACTTTGATGAGAGGTATGTATTGTCCTCTAGAGTCAGAACTGGCCGAAGCATCCGAGGACTCAGTCTGCCTCCAGCTTGCACTCGAGCAGAGCGACGGGAGGTGGAACGTGTTGTGGTGGATGCACTGAGTGGCCTGAAGGGTGACCTGGCTGGACGTTACTATAGGCTCAGTGAGATGACAGAGGCTGAACAGCAGCAGCTGATTGATGTGAGGGTCTTAAGAGGGCGCTGGTTGGTGGGAGCAGATGGAAAAAAGAGCCAGAGGGAAGGCTAGGCCAGATGAGACATGGGCTCTGAGAGGCCCAGGGGCCACCGTGAAGATTCTTAACCCAAGTCCCGTTACTCTTCCCAGGACCACTTTCTGTTTGATAAGCCTGTGTCCCCATTGCTGACTGCAGCAGGAATGGCTCGAGACTGGCCAGATGCTCGTGGAATTTGGTATGAGGCTGCTCCTTACCTCTTTTGTCTTCATGCCCTCATAAATGCTTTTTTTTTTCCCCTCTATCTCTCCCAATTCTTCCCTTGCCTCTTGAACACTGTCCCTCTCCTGCCCTCAGGCACAATAATGAGAAGAGCTTCCTGATCTGGGTGAATGAGGAGGATCATACACGGGTCATCTCCATGGAGAAGGGTGGCAACATGAAGAGAGTGTTTGAAAGATTCTGCCGAGGCCTCAAAGAGGTTGGAAAAGATTGTGTAGGGGAACTAGGTGGGAGGACATAAGGAAAACCAAAGAGTAGCATAAATAGATTATGTAATTTATTAACCCACCCAGGACATGTCTAATAGTAAAAAGGACTATCTAGGACTCACTCTAGGAATAAAGGTATAAACCAGCTGGGACCATACTGGGAAAACCAGGACATGTGGTCACCCTAAGATTAGGAAAAGAAAGAGTGTCAGGAACCTTAGGAAGTGAATAGGGCAGTTGCCAGATAATGCAAGAAAGGAATAACTGAGATGTCAGGTCAGTGCCTGGGATGTATGCAGTGGAATGGTGAGGTGTGCAGATAAGGAAAACATTTGAGCTTAGACTGATGTTGGCAGGGAGAGGTTGCTGTGTTCACGACTTTAATATAACCATCCAGGTCTGAGCCAATGTAGGCCTTGACTCTGGGTTCTATCATTCTTGTTAGAGTATCAGGTCGAGGCTTTAAGTTGAGAGTTGGGAGAGAGACTGGGGAAGGTGGAGGATAGAATGGTTCGAGTTCTAGAATATGTGGCTCTATATGAGAGGTTGAACTGAATCATCAATCCTACATAGACTGGGTCTCCATATTCAAGTCTACATTAGAAATCCCCATAAACTCAATTCAATTCTTACTGTATGTTCTCAAACATACAGTTCTATTTTAGGTTTGCAAAGAAAAAGGGCTCCTCTTTTAGATTCTGAGAAGTTTCTACTATTTTAGGCAAGTAATAGATAACATATTCTGACTATGAGTGGGTCGGGAAGTACCTTTAAATTATATGCCTCAGTTTCCTCACTATAAATTGGGATAATGAGATTTTCTACATTTTAGGTTGTTGTGGGGATTAAATGAAATACAGATAAAGTACTTGGTCCAAAGTAAGTGCTTAATAAGTGTTAAAGTGTTAGCTGCATTATTATTCTAGATGGAAGGGTTTCCCCCATGTTCAGCATGTAAGATATGCCCTATGCCATGGTTCTTTCTGAACTATAAACAGGATCCTTTTACTCACGTTGGGTAGTGGTCTTTGTGACCGTCACTCTGGTAGATCCCTTGTCTCTTCAACTCTAATAGTCATCTTCATGACTACGTGGTTAATTGAAGCAAAACGCCTTCCCCCTGCCCCTATGAATCTGGCTTTTCTGCTCTGTTTTCATCTTTCTCTGCATTGACACAGGTGCTCCGTTCACAGCTAACAGAACGTTATCTTACCTCTTCCTGGCAAAGCTTACACCTTCATCTTCTGTCTGAAAGGACCCTTCCAAGCTCTAGGCTCATTAGCAAAGCAAAGATAATTGATGCATGCAGAACTCATTGAATAATCAGTCCTCTCTCAGTTCAGTTTACCACCTCTGTTCATTTCCCTAGATCATCCCTAATACACCACTCCTTCGAGTTTTCTTCTTTCACATATTATTTCACAATCTCATTATTATGCACATCATAATTTTGCATCATGCATGCATGAAAACAATAACAAGTCATTTTCATTAAAAAAGACCAGTGTCATCCATTCACAGCCAAGTTTCTGTTCTAGACATATTTCTAGTGTTCTTGTGTGTCTAGCTAAGGGAGGGTCCAGGGTTAATGAAATATCCCTGATTTTTCATTAACAAAACCTTTGTGGACTCAGGTGGAGCGACTTATCCAAGAACGTGGCTGGGAGTTCATGTGGAATGAGCGTTTGGGATACATCTTGACCTGTCCATCTAACCTGGGCACTGGACTTCGGGCAGGAGTGCACATCAAACTGCCCCTGCTAAGCAAAGTAAAGGAGTTGTGGGGTTACAGAGGGGTGTGAGTAAGGAAGGGTGGGTTGT